TATAATAAATAATTTTAAATAAATAAATATAATACTTTAATAAATAAAAATTTTATTTGCTGTTTTTACTTTATTAAATGATAGTTTTTTTACAACTAAATTTTTTAACATTAATTCACTTTTACTAAAATGCGCCTATGGTGTTTTACACATGCATGCATTGTCTCAAAAATTAGATAATTAATTGGTGCATAGTATTTTAAGTAAAAATGCTCTACACTCCCGAAAACTCATCCTGAACCTTAGACCTAACCATAAAGACTAACATTAACATTATTAATGTAAAAAAAATTCGTTAAAAATTTGTATGCAAAACTTATAAAAACTTAGAACATTTAAAAAAAATATAATAAATACAGTCAAGCCTCCCTAAGTGCACACCCTCCCTAAATGCAACACTCTAGCTTGGTCTCCAAGCTCAGAACTTAGAGCTACGTGTACACCCTCTACATCCTCTACTCTCTGCACGTGCATAAATTTTTGAAACCTATACAAATATGTATACTCTCTACAAATGCATGCACTTTATAAAATTACCAATAAAACTAGAAGTTACGCCCTCTCTAAATGCACACTTACTTTCAATTTTAAGAACGCGCAATTAGAAAGGATTGAATTAATCGTATGTATATTTTTCATGCTCTGATTGGCCAATTAAATTTTCCATAATTGCACACCCTCTATGAATGCACACTTACCTCCGTGCACTTAGAGAGGTTGACTGTATATATAATAGGTACAAAACAACCATAGGTGCGTGTTATAATAATTTTGGATTAATGTATTAATTAAAAATTCTATGAAAATAAATGAAGAGCCAAAATTTTTAAAAATATATTCCGAAATAACGCATCCCTGCACGTTATTTCATCCACTGCATGTTATTTTGAAACTCCCCATGTGCGTTACTTTGAAACAAAAAAAATTTGAACCTAATGTATATATATATGTTATACAATGTATGTGTTATTTTGAACCAAAATATGAAATTTTTTTAAAGGGGTATAAAATTCGAAATGATGTCGAAATGATGACTATGAAAGTTATTTCGCGATTATACAATAAATTTTTAATAAAAATAGACATTTATACAGAAACTTTTTTTTACAAACAAACTTTCCCGCTAAAATTAAGATAAATATGAATAATAAACACTAATGCAATAGTATGATGATTTAATAAAAATTATTTACTATATATATATAAATTATAAAAATATTTTGAATACAGGTATCCCCACATTATAATATTATAATATCCTTAAACCCAAATACATATATAGTAAAATTCAATAATCAAAATTTGACGTAATGCAATAGTTTTCAATTAGATTTGCTTACTGGCATGCAAGATATATGTATGTTCATAGTCAATTTATAATTACTTTTTTCAGTAAAAAAAAAAAAGAAAAAAAACAAATACGTATGTACGTATGTACGTATGTACTGTATGTACTGTACGCAGTGGATATATACATCTATAGAAAATAAAAAATGGTTTATTTTTTTTTAAACCCATAATGTATACATTATATTCGTTAGACAGTTAAAAACGTTAAAGCACGTCTGTAAATTAATGTAAATTATTTTAGGGAGTGAAGTAAAAAAGCGTAGTAAAATTAGGTTGCACATAGGCCAATAAAAAAAGTTGGTTTGTATGGATATCTAATATAAGATAGAGCGCTTATAATAAATGATATTAGGTAACTTACTTTTGATGATTAATTTTATGACGAAATATGTATTTTTTTTTTGTGACGAGTAAATATTATGTAATTTAATATTAATATAGACGAATAAAAATTGAATGCACAATAGCATAACAGATAAAACAGTATTATTTTACTGTAGAATTCCATTAGAAAACTCCTTTTTTTTTCCGATTACTAATTATAAACTGTGATGATAGCGATAGTCTATCATACTTTACTTAAATAGAAGTTTTTAGAGTTGACGAAGAAAAAATCACTATACATTTAAGAAATTGTGTACGACGATCCATCTTTTATGGTTAAAAAAAAAACCATCAAAAATTTGATAAACCAATTAAAAAATAGTTAATGTTTTACTATTATTTAATTATTTTCGTCATAATTGTGATTGATAAAAAAGTAGATGGGTTTTCTTTTTGAATTTAAATCGGTTACTTAACAGTTAAGCGATCTATAAACATTTAAATAACAAAGAAAATCATCTACATATTTCAAGATAATATTAGAAAAGAATGGTAGATAATGTTGTTTATGATTGTACGTGCGTTTCGTGCGTACGTAGGTATGAAAAAGTCAATAACTGATAATAGATAGATAAAATAGCATTACTAAAATTTAAAAAAAATTTTAAAATTTCGTAACGGGGTAAATCAATTAGTATAAGGTTAATATTATCCAAATTTAGTATGGCATTTTTCTGCAATGGGCTTGAAATTTTTCTATTTTAATTTAGAAATGTAAAATAAAAAATTATCGGTGTATGAAATAAAGGAATTCAGAAATATTACTTTGTGGCAATGTATTTCTACATTTGCCTCGCTTATTGCTGTATTGCTGTATTGCTGAATTGCTGAATTGTGCAAAATGAAACTATATCAATATAGAACTAAAAAACTTTGATATAAACTTACCGGAGTTGTTTAAAAATGGGCTTGGCAAAAACGATAGATAAATATGTAATTATGTGTCACTGTGACATCTTTATTTCATAGTTATCAGATTTTTTTGTGTTTAAAATGTGGCGTAACACATATCTTTATTTATATATGTCAAGATGCTAGAGTGATTATTAATCGTATGACAAGGTGACTTTTTTTTACATTATTCTGTTATTAGTAGTATTTTTTTCATTGGCATAATTATCTCATTCGGAATCCTTTCCTGGTGAATTAACTGATTCTTTTTCCGATTGAATGTAATTGAATGTTAAATTTGACATGTAAGACCAAAAAGTATTTTAGAAAAACTTTAAAGAAATTCTGGGAATTCCGATAAGTCAGGTGAGAATGGCGTTATTCAAAAGTCTAATAATACATAATGTATAACATAATGTATGTATATAACATAATGTATGTATATAACATAATGTATGTATATAACATAATGTATATAACATAATGTATATAATATAATGTATATATAACATAATGTATAACATAATGTATAACATTATGTATAATTATCATACGATTTTTATGCCAGGAGATTTCATCGAGTGATAATACGTAAACGTAAAAATTAAAGATCTTCAGAAAAATGTAGAAAAGATGGCTGAATTATGCAGATAGTACAAGAACCTACGTAAAATGATTATAATTTATTAGAAAAGGATAGATTAATATGCAATTGATCAGATCATCATACTCGTTCACTGTTAAAAAAAAGACGTTCTTTTTTAAAAGTACACTTTAAGTTATATCATACTAATCCGGGGGCTACTAATGTTCCAAATTCGGGAATTCATATTAAAATCGGAGAATTTCTTTCGCGTTTACCGGTAATGTTCATTGACACAATCATTTCACATCATTCACATCATTCACATCATTCACAATGAGGTAAATTAATAAATGAAATTTTTTTTTCTCCGAGGCGTCAGGTCTATATGTATTATATGTATTGATAAATTTCAGCGATCCTTGTTATCCCTGCTATCCCTGCATCCCTGTTATTCCTGTTGTTATCCCTGTTTTAAGACCTAGTAACCCCATGCTTTTTCTTTATGAAGTATTACCCCGGTAATATGTTTCTAACAAAAAAAAAAAAAAAAAAACTATAATATTACTGCAATGTTATAACTACAGTATTAGATAATATTAGACAATATTGGACAATATTAGACAGTATTAGATAATATAATAAACTTTATCAAATTTGACAGGTTATCAGGGTCTCGATAGGGTCGGTTAATTATAACAATATTAAACAATATTGAATAATATTTAACGTTAATATAATCGGAAAAATTTTTTCCAATAAGAGAATACGCATTTTTATCTAGCATAAAAGAATTTTTATTTATTTATTATTTATTTATTTATTTATTTCATATCTTAGTCTTATTCTATAAAAAAAAAAAAATATAAAAAAAAAAACATAACTATTCGTTATTGTGATTTCTGTTACCGTTATCATACACTAAATTCTATATGCCAAATTCTTTGTTCCATCATGTAAAATCGCGAAGAAAATGTGTATCTATCTATTAAGTCTTAATTCCGTTATGCCAGTTATTTTAAAAAAAATTTTTTGTTATTGTGTTTATATGATTTATATACATGAATTTTAATCCATAAAATGTGAGAAGATTTTTGATCAAAATATCTTTGCCTATCTATTTACAGTGCCATTTTATCTATTTTAAATGTTACGCGATAACGAAGGGGTCGAAAAAAAAAGATCTATAAAGTTAAAATGTTCATCTCTCGTTAAAAAATATATAAATTCTAAAAGATGAATGCAAAAAATAAATAATATATCTGAAATATATATGTAATAGTCGTCTAATGTATATAGGAAATGATAATAATAAATAATACGATGTTCCGATAAAAAATGTTCGTCGTAACCAAATTCGTTTCCCCCTTCTGCTACATTAATTGTTCATTTGTGTTTTATTATATTACTAAATATTCTCAATTAATATATCCCGTCGAAATGAAAATATCGATAAATTATATATTACTTTTATATTTTTAAAGGGGAATTTGGGACAGAAGGGGTATCCGTCTTTTGAGGTTACTGATATTACTATAAAATATCTTTACTATTAATTTAATTAATGTTCGCATTTTTTTTTTTTTTTTCTTGACGCAGCTAATAGTACGTAGATAACTGCGTTTTTTTTACCTATATGCATAACGAGTTATGCACAACGAAATAAATAATAAAGAAATCCAGTATATTCAGTAATACTGTACTATTTCTTATCCGTTCATCCCATATTAATAATTTTTTTAAAAAAATATTTTGTTATTTGTTTTAAAGTGTAGTTTCCATCAATCTTCCATTAAAAGCATAATCGTCCCTTAACTATATCACTTTGTGAGTCATATATATCGTTATTCATCGCAAATGTTTGTCGATTTTGTTGTTGAGAATATAATAAAGGTGATGATTGATTTTTTCGTATTTCAACAGCAACGTCAGATATACCACCATCAGACACAGTATCATAATCTCTACAGATACTCATCATGAAATTTTCTCGTAACCAAGGAACATCCTTCATAAACTTACGAACGAACGCATAGAGTTTCTGAAGGAAAATATCTGATGGATCTATATCGATACTGCTTCTATTACTATTTCCACTAAATCTATCATCATCATCATATTGATTTAAATCATCGAAAGGTTTATAATCACCGGTTTGGGGATCGAAATTATCGCCAGAATATTCTGCTCGATCAATAATAACATCGAATTGATGTCGTAAAACATAAGAATCATAGGAATATTGACCTTGTTGTTCATCATCAATTAATCGTAATTTAAGTTTTTCTTCAGGATCAAAAACGTAAGGTTGTTCTATATCACCTATCCATTCTTGACTTAACGCTAGGATTTTTTCACGAATCCAATATTGTAATTGTTGAACACTCGAGAAACCAGTTGGAGGTATCACTGGACCAGTGCCTTTTGTTACGGATTGAAGTATGGTAGCATATGCTGGACCCATTACTTGCAATAAACCATTCAAATTGTAATTCAATGTAATAGTACCGCGCATGTAATTATCGGAAACTAAAAATTAAAAAATTTATATAATTTAATAAATATATAAACAATTTTTAAAAATTTAAACTCCGATAATGAATTTTTTTAAAAAAAAAATATGAACCTGAAGGAACTGACTGCATTGGTTGCATAACAGAATTATAAATGTTTCGATTAATAATAGACGATTGTGGAATTTGTTGACATTGTTGTGGTAACATATAAGACGGTTGTACCAAATTTTGTTGTAATTGAGCCAACTGTTGTTGTTGATATCGAACAGGAGCGTATTGAGGTCCTGATACTAAAAGAGGCATTGCTGAATTATCGATATTCATGCCAAGAATGGAGTTATCGTTAAGAAAATCATATTCGTTCTATAAAAAATAAAAAAAAGAGTAAAGGTTTTAATTTAGTATAAATATTTAGTATAAATATATGAATTTATTATTATTATTTACCTTGATAACCGTAGGTTGTAATTTTACGTCTTGATTCATTCTTTGATTATTTTGGATCCAGTGTTGTCTCATGGTATCATCCTCCGGAACGGAAGGTAACGGTTCTTCCGGAGGCGAATAAGACGTGTACTGACAACGATGCTTGGACTTTAAACATGCCGCGCAGGACGGGGTCTTTCTATCGCACTTAACTTTTCTTTTTTTGCAACTAACGCATGAACGATTTGGATGTCCTAAATTATTGGTCATGGGGGAAGGTGGAGGAGTGCAATAAAGAAGAGTTGGCTTGGGATGATGATTCGTTAAGATTTGTTCAGTATATTGAGAATCTTGGTATTGTTGCGAAAAGATCATTGTTGTTATTTTTTCACTTTTTTTTTTTTTTTCTGATTTGAGGTGGAAAGTGGAGGCACTTTTTATATTATAACGTTATGATCTGCAAGTGACACTAAAACTTATGTGATATATCTTACATCACGCCTTAGTAGGTAATATAAATAATTATAATAAAAAATATATCGGTAGGATTTACATAATATAAATTTATATAATAAATAATAAAAATATTAATATATATACAGTATATATTATTTTAATATATATATATTAATTAATGTACATGTGTTTATTTCAATTATAGATACAATAAATTCGAACTTTTCAAGTAATCAAAAATAAATACCCAAGGCTCCATGTTTATCCATACTTTTAGTCATTTCAGTAAACTTCTTCTTGCAAAAAAAAAAGCTTTGTTGCATTAAATTAGTAATAGAGTAACTGCGCCAATAATATCATTCTACGAGACTGTTCCAGAAATTAGATAACGTATGAATGTGACAACATGCTTCTGATAATTAATATCATATAATATCTATAATATCTGATAATTAACCTCTGATAAGTAATACTGCACACCTCTTCTCAGATTCTCAGATGACTCCACCCCCCCCTACATACCTCAGATGACCACATACCACACTATTTACTGATAATACAAGTATTTTCGATGACGTTGCAATTTAAATTAACTATTTTTAAAATTTTAATTTTTAATTTAAAATTTCCTATTAAGAGACATCGCGTGGTAATTAATATTCGATATTCTAACATGCAGCATTCTGATTATGAATGCGCAATATTTTTTTAGAACAAAAAAAAAAACATATGTCAAGTAAATCATTAGTTCTAATTATTTTAACAATTAAAAAATAAATTACCATTAGAATCTCTACAGACTAGTCAAAACTAGTCTTCAAAAATAATTTTGGATTCATGAGGTAACATCACGTTTATTGTTTTAATATTTTTGGAATTTCTTTGTTTAAAAGTTCTTTTAAAAATTAATATTTATATTAAATTTAAAAAATACAGTAAATTTATATTTCGTACGTATATAACATGAAACATCTTTCGAAGTATGTACTGTCTGAAATTCACAAACTAAAAAGTTGCTTCTAAATGATATCATGTTTTGACATATCTTGTTGTATAACTGATGCACAACAGCTCTAACCCAGAGATTAAATACTTTAATATAATTAAGAAACTCATATACTATACTCGGCTTAGACCGATTACATGATTGTATCAAATGTTTTTTAGAGTTTTTCTTTTAATTGTTAGTTTATTGTTATTTTATTGTTGTATTTTGTTCGAAAATAAAATAATTAAATCTTTTTAATTACTTTTACATTTTACTATTCATTTTTTTAATTACAGATGTTCAGAGATATTCTAGACACATGATTCTTATCCGGAAACCCATCTCCTCCCCAAAAAATTACACGTGACGTGACTAAAATATCTAAAATATCTAAAATATCTAAATATCTAGCATATACTAGATACGTCATATAGCATTTAACTATAATTACGGTAACTATTATTCTTATATTCAATTCGGACACTTCATTTCTTATATCTACTTGTAGTAAAAAAAAAGGTTAACAAGATGGAAAAACAAATGATCAGGGACTTTCGGAGATATAATTGTAATTATAGTAAACACATTACATTAAAAGTATACATTAACGTTATTGGTATATGCATAGATTATCAGGCATTTCAAATATAGTAATTTTGTCGAATACATTTTATTTATACGTACAATTTTCTAGCAATAAAAAGAATATTGTGCAGATAGATCTTATGCTACACATAAAATTGATGTAATTGATTAAAAAAAGGACATATAATTCTAGAAATAAAATAGGAAAATTTGATTTTATACCATGAATAAGTAAATCTATAAAAAAAAAAACATTTTTCCAAAAAAAATATATAATAAAAGAAATTATAAAGTATCGGTATATGTTAAATAAATGTTATCATAAATGTTATTAAATGTTATTTAAATTAGGTAACAACAGATTATCAAATGATATATCTTGAAATCGTCGAATATCGAAACAAACAAATATTATGCAAATAGGTAATTTTTTTGCCCGAAACAAAGAAAATGACGTTAGATGTTAATCACCAAATTTAAATTTTGATTGGTTTTTAAGTTATGATAAATAAATATCATTTATAGGCATATATTTTTTTATTAATTTATTTTATTAGTTTAATTTATTAATTTCATTTTATTTTGACATATATATAATAATAATTGTGTTACCGAATAAATAATTAGATTCTTGTTCTTTGTATTATATTGACCAATAATTTCTTCATACGCATTTAATGCCACATGGTAATTGTGTAACAAATCGTGTAACTCAGAATTTTTTTATCAACTTCTTGTGAAATTCTAAAATCCAAGGAATATCGTTTTTTTATTTTTTTTTTCTTATTTAAAGAAAGAATTTTTAACCGAATTAAAAAATATATAAATAAGGTAGTGTTACAGGAGTTTCTCTTGGAAATACAGCATGTAAAACAATAGTTGAAAAAAAAAAAAACGTACATTTAAAAAAAACTTTTTCATTTATGGAGATTCTATTAAGTGGTTCAATGAAATTTGAATTAAAAATTACGGCTAACGAAACAGGTGCGCTTTTATAGAAATGTAAATTCCGGTTAATCATCATCCCTTAATTTACTCATTCGCCCAATAAAATAATAAGGATCAGCAAAAGACAAAGAAAATGGCGTTACAATGTTTACTCACACGATTACTCACAAGACCCCACACGACCTAGTACAATCAAAATCCGGAAGGTAATTCAACCATTTGTAAAATAGCTTTCCCATAATGTAACTCGTAAAGTAATTAATAAAGTAAGGAAAAAAAAAGACAAACTGCATATCGTTAGAAGCATCAACAAACAATTGTTAATTACATTCTTTTCGGGAATGAATTTCATTCACACACACAAATAATATATAATATATCATTGTTTTTATTCATAGAAACATGTGGCAATCATGACATTACATTTCGACAATTTCGGAACGGATAAATTCAAAATATTCGAAACTTATGTAATGGAATAGTTTAAGGAGAAATAAATACGGTTTTAAAAACATCTCGTGAGGTAGTAAAGGTAGTAAAGGTAGTAAAATAGGTAAACGATTATTAATTACTACAGATTAATACATAAAGATTAATAATTATACGTCATATTTATTATTTATCATTACTTACCGCTTGTTGATATTACTTACCGCCTGTTGATATTTCGTGCCATTTTCTTTGAACGTTACCCGTAAATAAATTACGTATGATGATGGGGGTTTTTCAAAATTGCGTCACCATCACGAAATTTTTTGTGTGAGTATGAAAAGAATATAAAGGAATATCGATACTCAATAAACCAAAAAAATTATTACCCGACCCGATATTTCAGCATTTAAAGAACATATAGAATTTCATTGTTTCCGATACAAATTATAAACTACGGCTGATTAATGTAGATTATTTTAGGTATTTTATTTTATTACTTTAGTTATTATATATTTTATAGTTATTTACTTTAGTTATTACTTTAGTTATTATATATTTTATTATATATATATTTTAAGTTATTATTTTAGTTATTAATTTAGTTAGTCATTTGTGTCGACTAATTTTTCTTAGGCACTCACGAGGTGATGTAAACGAAACCGTTACAAATCAGTAGATATATGATGATTAAGTGGTAAATTATGATGATTAAATGGTAATTAATGATGATTAATTATAATTAATAAATTAATGATTGGGTTATATTTATAATATTTATATTTTTTTTTTATAAATGCTGTACGATTTTACTCGGAGAATTGTGATACTTTAGATAAGATCCTATACCACTATCAGACTATTATGTATTCATTGAATGGACGTTGTGTTAGTTATGCACTTTCATCAAGAATCAAGATAAGATGGAAGATAAAAGATTTTACATGGATTAAAATGGATATAAGAAAGTTACAAGAAACACGTTATGTTGCACAAGCTCCAGTGACATTAAAGTATTGGTCGCGCAAAATTAATATCTTAATGCAGTATTGCATGACCCAATATCGATACAACAAATATCTGATTCGATAATATAGTACAGTATTTTCCGTGATAAACATTTTGTCATAAAAAAACAACAAAGAAAATACAAACACATGATCATAATGAATTTGCGTGATGATACCAAATGTTTTGTATATTCACAAGTAAAATTTAGGTAATCTTTCTTATCTAACAAAACTAACAAAGAATTATTTTTATTTACAGTAAAGGACATTGATATTAATTAAACTTTCCACATAATATTATTCCCGAAAAAACGTGCATTAACGTCAAATTTTAATGCGTTATTAGTAGCCTTATCATGCTGTTTTGTTTGCATTGTTTAAAGATTATCTTTATAAGATTAACAAAAAATGTCTATTGCATTTTATATTTATTTTATATTTATTTTATATTTATTTTAGGCAGTCATAAGACCATGATAAGACTATGTCTTATCAAAAAAAATGCATCAGATAGCGATAATGTATTCAAAATACAAATGAGGTATATCACATTTTTATCTTCTTTTATCTTTTAAATTCTAAAAGATATAATTCGTTTTTGTCAAGAAATGATAACCAATGCTTTTATGATTTATATGCACGTTAATATGTCATGTAGCGTATCTCAAAAGTTATCAGTAAAATATATCCACGTATCTTTTTTTCGATTACTAATAAGTATTAGTCTAAACTTTATTATCATCACATGCTCTCGTCTACCCATTCAAAAATACCCATTTACCATTCAATAAACTCAATCATTATCATTTTTATTTATTTATTTTTTAAAAAAAAATTTTTTTTTATCGTTCAGGAAACAATAGCAAACTATTCTTTTTATGTTAAATAAAGAAACCTTTTAAAGAAACAAAGACAAAATAAATTATTGTTTCGGTTTTCCCACTCCATAAATATAAATATAAATATATATAAATTTTTGATAAATTCATTAATTCGATCTCCTGATCTTCTTAATAGCTGATAGTCAAGATATTAAGAACATAGCGTCGAAAAAATCCCTGACTACTGTATACGTACAGAGGTATACAGGTATACAGGTATACAGATATATACGTATGCACCTGCATTACTAAAACAGTAATATATATTTGAGATATCAGTAATATACACAAACAGTAATAATGACATAATTATAAAATGATAATCACAATAAGATTTATTAGTTCATGTGACTTGCCATGTGATAATATTAATCACTTGTTCTCTTTATTTGGATTATACATTTAAGTACATTAAGTAATAAGGGCTTAATGGATTTGCG